CAGCAGGCCAGACGCCAAGACCCCAGGCTCTGATCCCAGTGCTGAGCACTCCAGATTGGCTGATAAACTACATGAAAGCCGGTGAGGGGAGGCTTTGTTTAAATTTCCCCATGCTTTCCTGGTCAGGCTCCTTTTACCATATATATTAACAGTTTAAAAGGCACTATGTTACTTGGGGTTTCCATGTGAGATGTCTTCTCTGACCCACGGCAGCCTCCCTGGGTCTCCCTGCTTAGCTGCAGTGCAATACCCTGTCCCTGCCTTCATGGAGTGGAGACATGCCACTTGATGGAAGGTTGGTGTGTTTCCCGTAAGGCCATCAACTACAGTATGCACAATAAAAACCCAGACTGGTTGGTTTTGGTGGAGTTTTTGTTTGTTTGGTTGTTTTTGTGGATTTTCTTCCCTGCTGTGATTAAGAAAAGCTCTTGCTCAACAAGAAAGCATTTGTTAGAGGTGTGCCTGGCCTTCATTAGTAGATAAAAACAGTTCATACAGCTTTCGGGGCTGATAATAGTAAGACCTTTGGACATGAAAGATGAAGAAAAGCTGATCTCTAAGAGAACTAAGTAGTTCAAACCTGGAATACATTTCTGGAGCCAGTTACGAGGAAGAAACTGGGAGTTTCGCCTCAGGAGCAGAGAACTGGAATGCTAGCTATGGATGTGGATTCAGCAGCTGGGCTATTTTTGACTTGTGAACCATTCTAATGGCTGTTTATTTTTAAGGTCATTTTCTGTTTGCATAGCATGTACACCCTTCTGGTGGGTGGGAAGCATTATAAAAACAATCACTGCTGCGCAGAGCTATGAACTAAGCTTGCAGAGGGATGGAAAAAACAGAACTCGCTGTACTTATTGCTTTAAAACCTAAAAACATCTGCTTAGGTCATAAGGTTTGTTGACCTACTCTAAGCTGTGCCCCCACTGGAAAAATACCGTTTCAGTCAATACAGACTACTGCAGGGGATTGCAAAAGACTTGGGAAAACTAGGTTAGATGATAACACAGTATAAATAGAAAGGAAGCATCAGATTTGGCTTTCTTTTTTTCACTCACGCTTACCTCAGAAGCAGTAAATAGAAACCTATAGCACTGACCCCACAGCTAAGGGGTGCCAGCCAGGCCTGAATCCCAGCTCCTGTTGAAGGCTCTTGTTAAATAACACATTTATTGTCGTATTTTTCTGCTTTCTTCCTGTTGGTCGTATCTTTATTCGCACACAGTCGACTGATACAAATTCATTGGAACAGTGGCAGTTTACAAAAGACAGTAAAAGTGATTACTTTGAATTAAAATTTAAAAAACTCTAAGTCTGGCCGTCTGGCAGGCAACACACTGTTTGGAATAGGTCATGGTAAGGAAACAGTTTATAACGCTGGCAGTGTACTCCCAGGCATGTTCCTTTTCCAGAGCATAAAATACACAATACAAAAATATAATCAAAGTAATAACGAGTTCGTAGAAAATCTGCCGCAAAACAATTGCTGTTGTCTGATTTTCAGTATATTTACTCCCATGCTATATTATGATAAAATACTTGAATAAACATGGCTTATTTCTAACTTAATTTGAACTTTAAAGTTGATCTCAAGTGAACTGTAAAGTCTTGGACTCTGATCCTGGAAATACATAAAGGACCTTAACTTTGAACTTGTGAGACTGATAGACATGAGATGAGCCCACAAGTGAGCCTCATTCAATGCCTTGGGCTCCTGCTCAGGAGGGAAGTGGAAGTGCTGTACTTCATAGGATCTTAATTTGGGGCATTTTCCTGGATTTTTCAGGACTTTTAACAAGTCTTCCCTGGGATGATAAGCTTGAGTTCATCAAGTTGCTGGTAATCTGATGGATTAACAGCCCACTTTTGAGATTTAGGGCTCTGCACTTAGTTGAGTCAACTACACTAAATCTCTCCCTCCTCAGCTCATACCTCTGTGTAATTTTGCCTGTCCCTTTCCTCTTTTCTTCCTCCCTCCTGGTCTGGTACCATGAAAATGGTCTCTTTCCATGTGAGATTGCTGGATGCTCCAGCGCTTTGCTAAGGCTGCTCACACCAAGCCTTGCATGAGCTCCATGCATTTGGAGCACTACTCCCTTAGTGTTTCCAAGTTGAGAGACTCATGTGTAGAAGTGGAAGCCCATGCCGACCTTCCCATACCGTGCAGGGATGTGTGGCTATCCCTTTGGGCTGGCAGGCTTGCAGTGAGCATCTCTGATGTAGATGCAATGCTCATGAGACACAGCAGCTGGAGTGCCCCTTGCCATGACAGAGGAACACAGTGCTAGCAGGCGACTGTTTAACTCAAGGATTTCTTGCTCCTTTCTCTCCCAAGAGCCAATCTCAAAACTTTTAAGTAAATTAGTCAGTATTGCTCTGTATTTGCAGATGGGAAGACTAAGGCACCAAAGGTTGAACTCATTTGGCCAAGCCTGATCTGCAGGTCTCTGCCTAGTCTGTGCTCTTCAGTGAGCTGATGCTCTCTGCACTCATGTTGTATGAGACACATTCTCAGAGGGGTAATCCCATCTCTGCTCCCCACACAGACACCACACACACGGGCTAAAATCCACTTTCCTAGGCACAGCCGCCAGGGAAAACATCAAGGATGTGCACTGGAAGCCAAAAGTTGGCTTCCCAATGCCTAAATGCCACTGACTCCCAAGGAGGTCAGCTATGGAAAGATGACCAAGATACTTCTGAGGTATAAAACTCAGTGTCTGCTGGCCAGTGGTCAGCTCTGTCATCGTCAGACTTGTCGCTGTCATCACCACTGGAGGGTTCATAGCCAGGGATGGCAGAGCAGATTGGCTCCTGCTGCCTGCAATCTGCCTCCGCCTCCTTCTTCTTTTCCGCCAGCAGCTGCCTGTAGCACAGGTTGCAAACCCTCAGGGGCTTGGGGGACAGCCGAGGCATCAGGAACCTCTGCCTGGAGCAGTCTGCGCAGACAACAAAGCCGCACTTGCGGCAGTGGTGCCTTCGTGTGAGCGTGGAGAACTTGGTCTGCGTGCAGCGCATGCAGATGTCCGTCGCCTTGTCTGGAATCCAGGGAGCTGCATGCTCTGTGGAGGGCTGCCGGCCTGTCTTTGTCAGCAGGTGCCTGATGCACTCCTCCAGATGGCTGATCCACTCCTTCCTCTCCGTCAGGGAGGCTGCAGAAACCACAAAGGATTTCTTGGAGGTTTTAATCATCCAGCGGTTCTTCATCTGTAAAGTGTCTGGCAGCGTCTCCAAAGTGACATCTTCAAGGGGAATGATGTGCTGGGAATTGTACTTCCTTTTGTTGATGACTATGCTGCCATAGACGAGGATGTCATTGAAGAGGAAGAATATGCGAGGCTTTGGTTTCTTGCGGCATTCTTTGGTTAAAATCCCTTCTCCTAGCAGGACCCTTCCCGGCACGGCTAAGGGCTGTCCAGAAGCCCCAAAGCAGTTTTCCACAGCAGCAATGCGCTGGCTGTTGATCTCGGTGTTTGCAAGATGGTCCACCATCTCCAGCTTGCTCTGAGGAGAGGAAAGTAAAGCAGGAAGTGGTAAAGCTGCAAACATTTGCACCAGGGTGAGGCTGAGAGGTGAACGCATGCACAGATGAGATGCTTCTAATGCAGCCTGAGGTTACATAATCTCCTTACCACTACTCACTAGTTTGTTACCTTTATAAATTAAATTTTCAAACTTTCTGACACCACTTTGCAACAACCTGAATTACACTGGGATAGTTCAGTTTGCAGCAGTGGAAGCCCTTGAAAGTCAGAGCCAGCTTTCCTTACAGCTATGCTTTTTCCCAGTGTAAACTGTGTGCCCATAGTAAAGGAAGTTGTTTGGTCTGAAACTGCTCTTATGCAGGCTTAAGTACTCAACTGTACTATGACAGCTGAAGGGTACCAGGAGTCCCCACTTCTACCCCTCTTGGTGCTGGGAGCTAACTGATGTGGAGCTGGATGCAGGCTCAGGAAGGAGATCCATGGTCTTGGGAACAAGTCTCCCATTTCTGACCGCATGCCTGCTTTCTCAAATATTAGTTAAAGCACACACCCCCCACAATGCTGCTTGGGCCCACAGCTGAGGCAGGAACAAAGCGCAGGATCACTTGTTCCCACTGGTCCTCCCTGCATCACGAAAAGGGAAAAAAATAAAAATAAAAATGAAAAAGCACCCACTATGTGAATAAACCCACACAAGCCAAGCCCTTCCTCCTTTACCGCAGTTACAGCGGGGCTGCCAGTGCTTCCACTTGAAAGACATGTTATTCTTAAAATAGCCTGATCTCTGCTGAAGGGGAAGACAGCATGTTCATCCTTCCCACACCTCTGCACCCTCCTTCTCACACAGTGTCAGGTGTCAATAGTCCGCTGGGGCTTTTTTAACAGAAAAGCCTAGATAAGGGTACCTCTGCAGTGAAAACGAATGTCTGCTATCAGTAGTTTGCAGTGAGGAAAGCGCTCCTTGCCGGTTTTGTTGCACCTAGTCCCTCCTGCTCTGAAGGATGCTGCCCTGAGGGTGGCTGGCCACGGGAACCTGAGTCATTTCCTCCTCCAGAGAGGTAGCTCAGCCATCACGAGGCAGCTCCGAGGTCACAGGGATCTGTGTCGCCCAGCTGCTGTTAGCAGTGCATTGACTCACTGATGCAGAGCTGCTCCCCACCCTTTTCCCTGTCCTCCTTGTCCAGAGTCCCTGTAGCCATGGAGGCTGAGAGGAAAGGGAAGAGGAGGAGGACAGCATGCTTGGTCTGGTGTGTTTGGGACAATGATGGTTTCCATTCTTGCCTTGCTCTTCACCCCAAATCACCCCTTTGGTATGCTAGAAGGGAAACCACAGGGCCATTGCTCAAGGCTGCTGAGTGCCATTTACCTCTCACGTGAGTTAGCTGGCAGACAGACCCGTTAATTCCTTTCAGTTCCCAGAATTTTATTCTCTAGAGCGGGTCAGGGTACACAGGCACAAAGTTAAGAAGCAGGTTTAGCCTGAGGAGACCTAAATGAAGTGACCTACCCTGTAAAAATAGCTTTCACAGAGAAGTGTTGAGTGGCCAGTGCTCCTGAAAAGCTGGCTTCTTTGGGGTCTCCCCTGAACTAAAAAGAGGATCACAAGGCCTCCAGCCTCCTTCTGGAAGGATGTGTGTCCCCACAACCTTGAAGCACCAGAATGGATTTGATGAAGCTGGACAGCATTAAGCATATCCACTTGTATGGGTGTTCTCCCGTGTGGAGGGCAATTTACAATGAACTGCAATGCTTGGACAGGCAGAATCTGGGGGTCTGACAACAGCAGCAGCAGCAGCAGCAGCTGAAGTAATGTCCCAACCTGCTATCTCACTATGGACGTGCAGAAGTTGTGCAAAGGGATTTATCACTTGCCATCAGGAGAGGAGAAAGGCTCCATTCCCCTTCTTGATCTGTCAGCCCGAGTGGACCTGTACATGAAGGCAGCTGCTCTGCTGCAGGACATACAATCAAATCTGTTCTGAATTACAACAATACAGCATGTGTTTTTTTCTCTCCCTCTTAAATACACAAGTAAGGCTGAAGAACAAACAGGCAGGGCAAACTGCTCCACAACTGAACATGAAACTCTCTGACTGTGAATACCAGAGTCACACCTATCCTGGAATGCATTTTTTGGGGGGTTCTGACAAACAAATCCTTTGATAAGGAGCTTCTGCGTGAAAGACCAAGATGAGCACACAAAACAATAAAGGAAAAACTGCAATTACAGCTTGGGAAGTTTGGTGTGGAAAGACTGAATGCACCAAAATGCTGTCAACAATTTTTGGCAGCAGCAACACCAAGTAGAATAAACCAAAGCAGTTAATCCTTTTCCCACCAGCCTCACTTCCTCATGTTTCTGGGTTATGGAGCCCCAGCTCCTAGCCTGCTTCTTTTACTTTACATATTTTAAAAGCATGGTCCAACCTTTCAGGCACGTATGGTGTTTGACATGACTCTGCTTCTAGGGATCTCCCTGTACCTAATGCCAATGGTAACGAAAACTTTTTGTCAGATATAAAGGTCATGCCTGCAAAGAGCCAGGAAACATAAGCTCATTTTCAAAAAGGAGTGTGAGCAGTGGAACAGCAGTGATAACATGTAAAAATTAGGATATAAATTTTAATCTCTTTTATTCTCTGTTTAATCAAGTTTGCCCTGTCAGGTCAGCAGGGTCACAGTGCTTATTACCACAGGATACATATGCGTGTGTGCCACATGCAGCAGAAGCTTACAGAGCTGACACAAGGGTGTGAAGATGTACTTTACTAATGAGCTGCTTTTTACAGGAGTTATTGGCATGGCAAAGTTTAGGGTTTGTTTTTTTCATCAAGATCTGTTGGTTCTGCATGTGATCAAGTATTACGCAGTGAATATATAACTCAGTGAATACGACTTATATTCAAAGGAAAAAGAATACTATTTGGCAGTCCACTCCAGAAGTAAGCAAGCCATGTCTCATAACAATGAGCGCTTGTTCACTTGTGATTCTAAACAGCCATGTTGATGCATGCTGGGCAAAGCATTTCAACTGAAACTCCTGGGTCAGGGAGCCTGGGGTATGTTTTTCAAGTCTGTGTGTATCTAAGATTTGGGCGTAGCTATTCTACCCAATTCTTCTGTTCTTGCTGTCACACAGAACTGACAGTCTTGGTATCCATTGCATACCTAACGCATACCACATGCAAGGGACAGTCCAGGACTACTGGCGTGCAGTGAGATCTGACTGCCAAGGTCTGCCATCAGAAAATGCCCTGAGCCTCAGCTCTCTGCAGCTCTTCCTTACTCCATTCTGCTTTGCTCAGCTAAGAAGTCTCACCTGGAGTTAAGGCCAGCATACTAACCAAGCAGTAAGCAGGATGAAGCCTCCTTTAAGCCACATGCATGTAGAGCAAGAAAAGCATAGTTCCTGTCCTTTTGCTGCCAGAGGGGATTTCAGCTTGCCTCTCCCTCCTTCCTGGCATTTGGTAATTGCAGGACTGCTGGGGGCAGGCTCTTCCAGCAGTCCTCCAGCCATGTCCATGAGGAACGCAGTTCCGTACATGTGCGTTTTGGGACTGATTGTCACATTAGGCCTTTGATTAAGAAATGCCACTAGTCCCGGTGGGATATGGACAAACAGAGCTACTGGGCTTCTTGCCACTGTTGCTCAGCATGCCCAGAGCTTGTAACACACAGTGCCAGAGAGAAGGGACAGATAGGCAGTGGCATTTGAGGAGCTCAGACTGATGCTACCCAAGCCAGCAGCCCAAGCTCTGTTGTGGTGCTTGTGCACGTTCAGAGGTGTCCAAACAGCCTTGTACAGAAGGAAGGAAAACCTGAAACTCAGCGAAGAGCCTCACCCTCCCTCTCTGCCCTGCTCTCTGTCCATGCACCCGTCCTCAGGCGGTGCAGCACTGCGCTGCTCCACCTGCACCTCCTGCTCCCCACTGCTTCCCCTCAGCATCAACATGGTGAGTGGCCACAAGGAAGAGACCGCCATTGGGAGCTCTGGAGCTGACAGGAGTAACGTAGCAGCATTTGGCGAGACCACCCGTCACATTCTCAAGCTGGACACCGGCTTGTAGCAAATGACATAATAGGCACATTGGTGAGTGTCACCGAGGGGAGAGATGAATGCTGTTTCTCCCAGTGCCTGAGAGCCCACGTGCCTTTCAGAAGGGATCTATGGCCAAAGGTGGGGATTCCGCTCACAGCTCCGCAGCGCGATCAGCCCCTTCGGCTTTGGAACGTGGTCAAACTCGGTAACTTAAAGGGCTCCTTCTAAAAACCCAGTAAATCCGCGCTCTACTCGGCGATCAGGCCACGCACAGACATCGGGGTGCCGCAGAGCGGCTGCCCGGGATACCACGGGACGGAGACTCGCAGGCGGGCAGGGCACACCGCGGACCCCGCAGGGCCGGGCTCTCCGGC